TACTAAAAACAGACCTGGGGCAAAAAAAAAAAAAAAAAAGGGGGAAAAAAAAAAAAAAAAAAGAGGGGGAAATGAAAGATTGGACTGAGGTACCCTGAAGCCTGAGGTAGATCACAATACTGACATGCGCACTGTTCACATCCCAACCATAGTTAACGCCGTGGTTCACTTGACTTGTCTCCTATTTTTTCAGGTTTTTATCATTTATTATTATATTATTTTTCATAGTCTTAGTTTTCAAGAAAATAAACACTTCCCTTCAAAATAATATGGCAGTATCCCACTGAGGGAGGGAAAGAAAAACAGAAGAGGACTTTTCTTTTTTTTTGTTTCTTATCAATAGATCTCATCACAAAATAGGAAAAAATAGATTCATAAATATTACTCTGTTTTTATATATATACACATACACACACATACGTACGTGTGCGCGCACACACACAGACACACACGGAGGAAGCTGTGCGTATTGGCAATAACCTTGCGTCTGGAAGATGAAGCTGATGGGTGATGTTTGAGAGGTGACAAAATAAGGCAACAAGCTTCCACAGTCTCTCCAAAGTAAAGCACGAAAGGACACCATGACCTGCGAGTCCAGAGGGTTTATAGAGGCGGCCGGCCACCAGCGATTACTTTTTAAAAAAAAAACCCTCCAATATAGGGGAGATAACAGAATGAACAAGAGGGTGACAATCTGTGTGGCTGGGCCGGCCTGCTGGACACGACAGGAGTGATGTGTTCTAAAAAAAAAGGCTGCATATTGTACATTCACAGCTGTCATGCTGTTTGTTTAGAAAGCTCCCTGACAAAGAGAGGGTTAAAGCCAAACGTGGATGCGGTCACGTTTGCGGTTGTGTGTGTACCACAGGTCATACGGTGCCAAGCCCCACCCCCTAGACTCCCAACCTCCAATAGGCATGGGCCGGTTCTCTGCATGAACGTATAGCGAGATTGTAAAAAGCTTAAGAATTAAAAATTGATAAAACCGTCCGTCCTTTCGTTCCTACAAATTTTGAGGCTGATGTTCGTAAAGCTTTGACCTGCTGATACCGATTTTAGCCATTGCTGATTCCTCCTTAAGATTTAAAAATAACTTTTTCTAATGCTTTTGCCGTGAATCGTCATTAATTACTTATACTAGAGAAGAGATATGACGTGATTTAAATATGGCTATCTAAATTAATTCACTTAATAGTCTCAAATGATTGCTTTTTATCAATTATCTGATAAATTAAGCAAAGGACATTTTTGATTGATGACTGACTCCATTGAATGCACAAATGCAACCCAAGCAGCCAGGTCTGACATAGACTGAATTAATGTGTCTCTGATCCCCTTTGTTTCCTCTGTTATGGACTGGTGTAGATATTGTTAGCTCTGGTCTTAATCCCAATAGCAACATGTTTTGCGCAGAGTCGATGCTGCAGGCTTGAAGTCGTGCAGCACTCAATACATTCTTTTGCATCGTCTTTGCTGGTGTAGTCTGTGCATCTGTTGTTAGGGGGTCTGCCAGAAATTGGGGTCCTGAGAAAAGTGCGATTAAATACATTATTATTTCTTAATAATTTCTATAAATAACATGTTAAAATACCGGTACTAATTGGCTTGACATTTTGGTGGCATCACTGAAGCAGCAGTCGCCATGTGACTATGGATCTTTTATCTCCACTCAGAGACTTTTAAAAGGCTCTCAGCATTTACAAAACCAGCATTTTCTGTGACAGAGGTTAAAGCTCAAAGAGGATAAGATATTACAAACGGTGCTGTGCTCTATTAAGCCATCCTGTTATCTGGTAGAAGTCTTGCTTTCTCTCGCAGCCAAAATGAACATCTTGACAAAAAGTTTCTCTTCAAATCGCTTCTTACAACCTTAGTTCTTCACAACTGATTTAGTTTTTGAGCACTTCACTGATTCCGACATTTACTAACTTTAAGTGTTCTTCACTCAGTTAGAACCTCCACCCACAGAGTCTTCTTTAAAGTCTTTTTAATAACATGCCAGAGAAAATAATAATTTTACCTGAGGTTTCTCTGGCTGTTCAGAGGATTAAGTAGCCGTGCATCCTCCCCTCCCCCACTTGTTTACTTGAAAACTACAACTAAATTTAGTGTCTATTTATTGTAGTCTTTTTGCATAATTCCATTTACCAACATAGTATTAAATGTATGGTGTAGATAACATTTCATAAAGCTGTAATAATAACTGTACTTTACAGTATTTTAGTAGCTGCTTTGTGGATCTTAATGAATAACAATAGCAAGATTATGTCATACATTTTTATATAAAATTTATGTCTAAATACTACGATACCGCAGCATTTTTATTTCACTTACCGGCCCATGCCTATTCTCTAAAACTAAACATGTTTTCGCCCTCCCACCCTAACCCTGTCCCCTCTGTCCGGGCCCTCTGCCACCTTCTGTTGGCCCTTGTGACGTCCCCTTAAGGCCAAGCGTGTGACAGTGCACATTCAAAACAAATGATTACCTGCTCATTAGCTAAGGTGCGCCGCTTCTTTAAGACGTAAATTTTCTTTTTCTTTGATCGTCAATGCCTTTTTTAATATATATATATATATATATATTTAAATATATATATTAACGGACTGTTTTAGACATCGCTGCACAGAATGCGAGGGTGATACGGTTAAATCTCATTTCACCTGTCTTTAGCAAAAAAAAAAAAAAAAAAGTGGCAGTCAATTCAATGTTTCAAAAAAGGCTACAAAAAAAAAAAAACATGTTCCTTTGCAACAAAAACAAGGAACCTATTAAGAACGCAATGCCAGATGAGAGCAATGAAACACAGAAATTAGCGGAAAAGAAATAATTGATTAAAGAAAAAAAATAAAAAGAGAGCAAAGCATGAGAAATGACAGTGAGGGATGCCAGGAAGGGGACGTTATCTTTTGCGTTGGCACACACACAGGCTCGTTACAAAGACTCAGAACCATTCATCAGATTTACTTTCAGGGGTTTTAAATTCAGCAAACAAAACGGGATGAAGTCGATCGCTCTCCATGGCCAACTCAGCTCAATCTCCTGAACCAGCTAACACATTTAAAACTGCACCAGGTTGTTCTGTCATTCTGATAGAAGAAGAAAAACAAAACAAAACAAAAAACAGTGCATATTCTCAGTGTGTATCAATGTATGTCTCTACTCTGCATTAATACTGCTAAGGATATTCTCACAAAGAGGAGCCGCTCTCTCCGCCACTCGCTCTTCCGCTAACTCACACCGTCAATCCAAAATGCCTTGTGTGCACTCGTGTTAATAGGTTTATTTGTTCGATCTGTTTAGGCCTATGTTAGTCCAACTAAAGAGATAACGTTATGCAGGGCAACATATCATTTCCTGTGTGTGTGTGTTTTTTTATTTTTTTTTTATTTTACTCATAAGACATTATTTACCAAATTTTATGCTGTTTAAACCTCTCTTCTCTTTTCCTTTTTCTTTTTTTTTGGTCTTTCTTTTTTCTTTTATTGTATCAGTCCATTTTCTCCCACTCTGTCTGCTCTCACAGGGCTGGCAGTGCACACAATGCCCTCAGCCTTTGGCTCTCACTTGTTTCCCCCCGTAGCGAAGTTCTTTGGTTTTGATCCCGGTGCCGCCGCCGCCGCCGCTGCTGCTGGTCTGCCCCGCGCGTCGCCCCTTGGCCTCGGCCTCAGTCTGGGTCAGTCTCTGTCCGTTTGGGAGGGCTACATTCATTGGCTGGTGCCCACTGGAGCCGCCTGGCTGGGTCACTTGGAGTGGTGCGGTGACACGGCAGCGCCCTGCTGGTGCTTCTGTTCCTGCTGTTTGACCTGCTGAATGATCTCCCGGATCTTCCTCTGTGCAGTCTGCCGGAGGAAACGGGAACAGGTGAGAGTGACGTGTGTGCAAAACGCGAAACAAGTTGCAGAATTCCCGTCGGAAGCTGGAAACGGATCCTTGTCTCGTAGCAGTGTGAGAGCAGTGAACGTTTTTTTTTTTTTTTTTTGTCTCTTTTAAAAACACGAACCAAGCAATGGGAATTATATTTTAGTTTAGACACAGTTAGAAGAATATGAGCTTTGTTGGAGCCTTCAGAAAATATGAGCCCAAGAAACAGAATCAAATAAAAATGAAATAAAACTTCAAGCCAATCCATAAAAACCACCATAAAATAATAATAATAATAATAATAATAATAATAATAATAATAATAATAATAAAGTCTAAAAATCTCTGACATTTAATTTTAGAGTTTTACAACATAAGGTGGCATCAGGTTTGATATTCATAAAAAGGAAGCTCAATCTTTGTGCCTGGAGACAAGCTAAAGGCTTTATAGACACACAAAGATTGACTCCAAATGTAACTATTTCATTTCACTCATAGAAACTTGATACATTGGAACACATTGTGTCAACAAAGGCCTATTCTAGCATCTTTTGTACAAGCCCTTGAAGCCTCTTCTGGCACTGCCGCATCAAAGAACATTACCGCTAACTCTTCAGTGGCTCTTTATTCTAGTTCATTTTCTTTGTTGCACAATCACATAGAATCCTGATAAAATATGTTAAGGTTTGTAGTTATAACACCATAAAATATACATAGAGAAAAATATTGCTGAAATATATTTTGATTTATTTGACTCCTTGTTGCCGTACATTAAAGCTCAAGCTCTGGTTGATTGAATTACTTTCTTTTTTTCTCCTCTCAACTTTAAGAGAAACAAATTTGGCTCCAGAGAAAAATGAAATCACCTGGAAGAAAACCCAGAGATGCCCCGAAAACAACAATCTTTCATTCTGTGCTGGATTGGTTTCTGTGTACCTGGCTGGCGAAGAAATGCCCGCTGATTTTCACAAAGACCTCGTCGTTCTCGTCAGGAGTTTGGTCCCGCGGTACAATGACCTCTGCACTCGTCAGGTTCTGCAGCTCGTTAACCTGAAACACATCATGCATCGGCACAGATTAAGATCCTGGATTGGATTTTTCACCTGCAGGCTCACGTACTAAACACAGACATCGTCTTGGTCATAAACATTTACAGGTCTCATCATGCGCTGGACATGTCATGCTAGCTTTAGGCTTTAGACATATTTTTGGAACCATTCTTTGGTTCCAGGATGTTTGTTGGGTCCTTATTACCCCATAAACTTGTGACTGAAACACACAAAATGTGATATGTAAAGTTAAAATGTTTGTCATAGTGTAAATATAATTTCTTTTGAATAACTAAGAGTGTGCTCACCGTCTTGCCACCTTTGCCAATGACTCTGCCGGCCGCGGTCGAGGGAACCTTGATGTGCGTCTCCAGTTTGACCTCCTCCTTTCCTGAGAAGAAGTTCTCCTCTTTCAGCTTCCCAAATATCCGACCTTGGGCCTGAAATACAAAGGAGGGTATGAGGCAAGGAGAGACTGGGGAAAGTGGGGACAACAACGGTTCACTGCTGTTTACTATAGCACAGGTCACAATGTCAATCATGCAAAAATGGTCCAAATTTCCTTGATGATTGAATCACACCGAGTTGGTGTTTTTTTTACCTTAAACTGAGCCTCAGGAGTTCCAGTAATAATAACCATCCTCTCAGCGACATCTGGGCTCTCGGCTGGGGCAATCTGTCGAGAAACATTCATACGTCTTCACAGGAAGAGCTTAAATACCTAATCATCTGACAAATATTCAAAAATAAATTAAACATAAATTCACAGAATGTAATATAAAAATTCAAATAAATGAATTGCCTCTGGTTATATTATCTGAAGTGTCCAATTTTCAAGTCATCTGCCGTTTAATCACAAAAGCCGCCCAGGCTGCGGTCGGCCAAGTGCTGCTGACTCACATGGCAATCATTTACGACTTAATAACATCCGCTTAATGATTGGCTTTTTAAAAATGCATGGCATGTTTAGCTTGTGTTTGAGGACTCCAGCGTGAACCGATGATTAAAGCCACTCTGAATGTTTTTTTGTCGCTCAGGGTCAAAGAATGAGTGATGCGAAAAGACCCACCTTGATGGAAGCTCCTGCAAAATGGGCGAGTTGTTTGATGTGCTGGCCCTTCTTGCCTATCAGGGCCCCGACTGCCTGAGTGGGAATAAAGAGGTAGACGACCTCCTGTTCTGGAGCCTGTTGCTGAACCAAAGAAAGAAGAACCACAACGCAGGGAACAATTACAAAAATTTTGTCGCAACTCATCAGGAAATGGAAAAACAAAAAACAAAAATTGGAAATCTCTGAATGAAACATTTCCTATTAACTGTGATTAACTTATGATTATCCTTGCCTAGCGTGGTAATTGCTCACGCATTGAGGTTTTTAAAGTGAATTTTGACAAACCACAGGATAAATCCGGGATGAAAAGTCCCCCACCAGAAATATTTGTGGTGTTTTAGTGACTATGCGATGGAAAACAGCGAAAACAGCAGATCCAACATCTCTCCTTTACACAAAATGCTTACTGAGAAGCTGCAGTGGCCTGTTATTTACATCACTTACTGTAAATATGCAGAACTCTCTTCAATGGAAGCAAATAAGGATGTTGACTAAAAGGTCCTCAAGACTGTCAGAAAATTTTTTTCTTTGGCTGCGTTTCACTACTAACTTTCTGTTTAGATTCCTACGGAGAGTGAAGAGTGCCAAATTACAATAAATAAGTTTAAGTTTTATACAATTTTATATAATAATTCAAATAATTATTTATTAAATAACTGTAATTATTTAATAATTATTTAATTATTTCTGTGGAAATAAACAGAAATAATTTATTAAATACAGAATTAATTAATTAATGTGCCTCGATTATATGTACTGATTTCATTTTAAAATGAAATCAGTACATATATTACATGATAAATTACATGATAAAATGTAATTATTTTATCATTTCATGTTCCTGTGCTGAAGCCCATCATGATACTGTGTCAAGCTGAGTGGGAGGGTTTAGGGCAGCTTCAAGATGGACCCTGACATCTGATTGGCTGGTTCAAACAGCAAGTCAAGGCAACTTCTTCCAAGTTTGCTAAGACTCTGAGGTCAATACTTTTACTGGAAAGTACAGAAATAACATCAATATCATTCGTTGTTATTTGTTTACTCTGGGTGAGAAACACCAACCTTTATAATTCTAGTTTGGTCTGAAATATCTTTAATAAGTTCACGAAAGCGTGTTAGCCAAAGCCAGCACTCTCTCAATGTTAGCTGGGCTAACGTTGATCCTGTCTGAAGTAGGCCAGAGTGTGATATTTTATTATTTTTTATTATTACAGATCATTCAGACCAAACTAGAGATATAGAAGCTAGAGTTGCTCACCCAGAGCTTGTAGTACAGAAATGACAACAATTTATTGAACTTTTCTTCACATTTCCAGTGAAAATAAGCATAAAAGCCCTAATTCGTCCCACTGAGAGAAGTTGACTCATCAATTAAATTATTTCATAATGTGCTTGAGCACAGAAACATGATGTAGTTTGTTAAATCATAATTATATCTAGTTTTTAAAATGAAATCAAAACATTTAATTGAGGTAAATATAATTATTTTGTATGTAATAATTGTATTTTTACATATTGTTATTTGGCACTCTTTACTCTTCATGGATTCTGTATCTAATTATCAAAAAGGAGAGAAGAGGAGGGCAGGATAAGACATTTCTGAAAGCAGCATATGAAAGTTACATAACCATAAAAAAAGGGAAAAATATTTAGGAAACCCATTTTACCAGACTCGTAGGAATTATCCTTCAGTTCACTTGCGTTGATACGCTGGAGTTTCAGCTAATAGCTGCTTGGGAATCATTTACTTGGTCCCTTATAATATTTTTTCCACTGACGTTTAATGGGATTAAATTGAATGTTTATGTAACAGTTATGGGAACAAAATACTTAAAGATTGTTATGGCTGTTTCTACTACTTTCTTCTTTTTTTTTAACCAGCTGCTAACGACTAAGAAAATATTTAACCTTTGGAAAGGTCATTTAATTCCCCCCTTTACCGTCTGTATTTCTGTCACATGTGTTTTGTAATCTGACACACAGCAGTGAGTAAACTTCAGAGATAGTCTGAGATGACTGAGGCGGCAGTGAATGGCGTGCGGAGCAGAGGGAACGTACTGAGTGCTGGTGGGGCATGGCACTTGCTGAAGGAACCCCGTACAGGCCACTGAGATGTGAAGAGTGACTCTGGAAGTGACAAACAGCCCCATCAGATGGCATGTTAAACACCCACATAAACACAAACTGGGCTAATTATTGGGGGGAAGACTTCAGGGCGCCCACTCACAGTGAATCACATACTCATCATTTTGACCGTGAAGCACGCTCGTGCATTCTCGCGCACTGTCTCACAGCACTTACACTGGGAAATGAGTGGAGACTTTTGTTTCGCACACATACTGACTCATATCCAAATAAGATGGGGGAATTCTGCTCGTTTCAAACTACATCAAGCAGGAAGACCTGAGTCAACACTGTACTGTTGTCTCTAAAAGCACTTCAAGGAGAACATGGTTTACCCCATGTCCTGCAAACACAGACAGAACTAATCCAAAAAGGCAATTAAGGCATAAATGGCAGTTTAGAGAGAAGAAAAAAGAAGAGGACTCACTAAGAATGGGTTGTATCCTGCTGGTGCAACAGGGGGCACTGCACCACGTGGTCCAGCAGCAGCAGCAGCAGGGGGCAGCACCGGCAGACCAGAGGAGAAGATGCCCAGGGCGTTCAGGTTTAAGCCTGGGATCAAGTTAGCTTGTTGCTGCAAATGCAGAATGATTTGGATTTAATTAATCGAACTCTTCTTTTTCCCCTTGTTTAAGACAAAGCTTAGTGAAGGTCTTAGGTGTTAACAAGGACTTTACATCTCTGAAATGCCTAATTGATCATTGCCTTGGGAGGACATCACCAACATACAGTAGCTAGCAACTCCAAAAATCTCAGTTTCAATGGCCATTATAACCGATCTACTGATATCTACCAAGCTGGGGTGAAAATGAGAATTTTATTTGTAAGAACATGTAATGGTGGAAAAATGGGCATAGCCACAGAAACAAAGTTAAATTATCGCGTATCTTATACCACTGCTGAGTGTTCTGGAGATAAAACTGTTGATGATGCAAGAAATAAAAAAGACCGAGATTAAAATTTCCAAAACATGAGCAGCTGTAAAAATCAAATCTATCTTGGCTGGTGCTTATCTCTAGCAGTCAATGTGCAAGAGACAGGGTACACTCTGCACAGGTTACCAGTGAATCACAGAAACAAACAACCACACATGCACACACTCATTCGTAGGCCAATTAACCTAACAAGCATGTTTAAGGCTGGCATGAGGAAGCCAGAGTCCCCGAAGGGAAACAAGCACACACAGGGGAACATGTAAAATCCCCAGCAGGGATTTGAACCCACTACCCACCAAAGACTGATTCTTAAACAGCTGCTGTTGTTTTTAAAGTTGTTGCACAGAAGCGTGTCATAAGGATTTGATTACATAAACTGTAAGAAATGCACGTTTTTTTTTCCTCACTGTCTGACATTAAATCAGACTAAACCTTCACTGTGTTAAGTCAGACTTACCTACATGATTTTGATCTGCCAAATATCACAGATTAGTAAATAAATAAATAAAGAGATTATTTTAATTACTTCCTTTACATTCAAATGTTTACTGACATTACAATATATTTAGAAAATTTTGGAAAACATAACATGGCTACAGCTTTTTAAGCTTCTGAAACAACTGAACTTTACTAGAGGGATTTATTTGTGCCTACAATTGTTTGAACCAGTCATAAGCACCCGAGCTCTTCCAAACTGATTCCCCAAAAAATCCTGAAAATGGCTCTGCCCTCAAAGCCAAGTCAGCCGCTCGTGTTTCCGGGGTCATGACACAACCTCCAGTTTCCTCTGTCGCCCTTCGTTCCTGAATGTTCTTTGTAATATCGAAAGATTCCCTCTAGATGGCCCACTCCGCTTACAGCTCACCGCGACAGAAACGAAACCGAGCCCGAGGGATATAGTCTCTGAGTGATACTTCCTGGTGATAATATAATACTAAAGCAATAACAACAGTGGAGAACCAGCTGAACTGACACACTTAATAAAAGCAGCTTATAACAGATCTCATGTGTGCATCTCCAGGAGCTTCAGCTGTTGCTCTTGATGAGCGCCATGTCCATCCACTCCCTTCATGCTCATCAGCGGTGCAGCAGAGAGCACGCAGTGCGTGACATTCCCGCTGTTCCTCTTCGTCCGAGGCTTGACCCCAGCGGCTGATGATGTCACAGGGCCGGCGTGAAAGAGGAGCCGGGCGAAAGAGCGACCCGCAGATATCAGATGGATGCTGGGAAACGCGGTGTGTTGCAGCAGGGACGCAGACACACACAGCGGGGAAGGGAGTGTGAGTCAGAGGCACGGAGACAGGCTGCACTCAAACACTCAGCTCACTTAATGAGCTATTCAGCGATCGTTTACTGTTATCTGTTTACAGAGCGGGCCTTACTAATGCTGGCGGTAACACACTACGGGGGAAGCTAATATGGTCCTGCGGTCAAACCTCCCCCCCCCTCCCAAACCCCCGAGTCCTCCCCGCCGCTCACCTGTCAGTCAGTGTGAGTCACCTGACGGTCATAATCATCACATGAACGGCACAGAAACAGCGCAGAGGGCTTACATTTATAGCAGCGATATCGTTCTCGTAGGCTTCCCTCAGCTTCTTCATGATCTCCACCTCGGCTTTACAACAAGCCTCCAAGCTTCCCTTCACCGTGATGGTCCTCTCAGGGTTGTAAATGGTTAAGTCTTGTAACCTGAAACACGGAGCGCACACACAAATCACAAGAGGAAATGTAGGATCACTCAGATTCAGTTTCTTTCTGCATATTTTTATTTATTTATTTATTTTTTTTACTCAAACTCAGATATTTAAACATGTTTATTTTTAAAGTTCAATTTAAATGCATCCAAACAACAGTTTAGCTGTGATATGTATTTGGGTGTTGGTGTTTTTACATCGGCTTGCGTAATATTGACACCCCGGCAGAAAAGCAGAGATTTGCAAAAGTATTTGTGCCTTTTGCTTCTTATAGCGAGAAAACCACAAACCTCAGTGTATTTTATTGGGATTTTCTGAGACGGACCAACACAAAGTTGTACATGATTGTGAAGTGGGATAAAAGGGATAAAAGGCTTCAATGTTTTTCACAGATACAGATCTGAAAAGTGTGGTGTGCATTTGTATACAGGCGCATTTACTCTAATGCATGAGTGCACTCAATTGCCTGCAGAAGTTTACTAATTAGTAAGTAGAGTCAGCCAGTGTGTCATTTAATCTCATTACAAATGAATTTAAATTACAGTTCAAGGAATAACGGGCAAAAAAATGTTCCACTGTATACTTTTCAGATTTTAATTTTCTTAAATGTTTACTTTCAGTTCACAATTAGCCGCTGTTTTTGGGTTGAGATAAAACCAAAATTATCAACAAAATACATTGAGGTTCGTGGTTGAATGCTATCAAAGCAAGACAAAGTTAAATCCTTTGCCAGGATTCTTCCCAGACCTGTTTGCATCTGGATGTTGGCACAATTTCTGTTTACAAGTTTAAGATCACACATACGCAATTTGCAGTCCACTAGCCATAACTAAGATAGTCCTGCTGACATAACGGAGGGTTTTTTTTTCCCCCTTTTTGTTTTCAAAGCCTCTCGGGAGACAAGTCGGGAAGACATTTTCCAGCTCTCTTCTCAGGCCGAGGCCTCTGCAGGATGAGTAAAACAAGCTTTCTGTGAAACATTGTGTGAAATGAGTCTTAAAACAACGAGTGAGGCAAGGTCAGCCTGGGAACGGCAGCACGGCGACGCGCACAAGAAGGAGAAACAAAGATCATCCATCCGACCAAAAGCTGCAGCGCTTGGAAAGTAGCAAACGGTTTCTGCTTTTTACAGCTAATATAGACAAAATGCACATAAAAAAAAAACTTAGAGTGAAGAAAACCATCGCACATCCAACAAAATCAATCCTCCCTTTCTCACTCTTACCTTTCCAGCGACTGCACGCTTAATAGAATATCACTTTTTAGACAGGTTCTTGGAAAATCAAAGTACTCATCAAAGTTACGGCTCCATAAAACGATTCGCCTGAGTTTTATACAGCAGTTTACACTTTTCAGTCCATTTTCCTTTAGAAAAACAGAGGATGCTTCACAGAATCACCAGTTTGCCCAAAAGGATCTCCATCTGTTTCTCAGAGCAGGTTGAGCGCACTCAGTCAAATGGAGTGTAATCACCTCCTCACTCATATCCTGGGGAAAGGGAGCCGTAATCAACTCTACACATTTTCACTTTTAACTGCTCAGTTAGGTGGAACAACATAGACAAAGGAAAAAAAAAGAAACATTCAGGAAGGAGGGTGTGGCTCCATGAAACAGAAAATCCTGTTTCCCAGTTGGTTAAAGCAGCATCAAGTCTATCTATACGCAATGTGGTTGTGGTTAAGCTCAGCAGGACGCAATTCCTGCTCCTACAGAGGGAGCCTCATGTCAGGCTGGACTGGACGCTCAAAATGTTCTGTATTTTACCACCAACTTTACTGAAGAAAATATTCAGTGCGATGCCACTGACACAAAGAATGAGTAAGCTGATCTCCGTGCGCCTGGATGTGTTTGCATGTCCCCTGGGAGCAGAAATGTACATGGGTCAGTGCCGCAGATTGCTGAGGTTTAAAGGTCTTGCGTGGCTTTAAAACTGTGAGAACACGGAAATGATTTGGCACTTTCCACCTGAACGGCGTCAACTCGGGCAAAGCGTTTCAACTGTGTTTGCAGATGCGGCAGCGATATACGACTTTAGGATGCTCATTCGGTTCCTTTATTGCTCCTGGGTGAGTCTGAATGAAGAGACGTTTATCTCCCCAGCAGACTGTGGCACACGGGATGAGTCGGACAGAACCGGACAGAAGTGAAATTAGGGTGGAGAAGAATTTAAACGTTACTTCTAACTTTCCATATATATTTTCTTTTTCATTTGTTTGTTTGGAAAAAGTAGAGAGTGGGTCAGAGAAAGTGATCACAATGCTGCAGTGCAGTCTGGAAAAGTTAGGGAATTTCATTGATGTAGTTTCCACAAAGATTTCTACAATGTATTCCTTTCATTTGCATCCTCCATATTACTGAGCATCGTAGCATTAAATATACCTGACCCGTCCTGCCATCCACAGCTGAAAGAGATTCTGCATTTAAAGTCGGTCTTCTTTAAATTTCTGCCTTACATTCATAAGATTTTTTTTCTTCTTCTCGAGTCATAAACTTTTTCAATCAATCCGAGAGGCGTCGTTTAAATTACTCATCAGCCTGTGGCGACATGTAAATGATTGAGCGCCCGACTTACGAGGAGATGGTTATCTTGGTCCCTGTCTCCTCCTCGATCTTCTTCAGGTTGCGGCCCTCCTTCCCAATCAGTCGGCCCACCAGGCTGTTGTGGGCAAGGATTTTCAGAGGGATCTCCTCTGTCCTGCCGACGCACAAACACACAAAAGGTTAGTTGCGATGACTGGCTCCACTGAGTGTCGCTGACACCTCGGCGAGGGTGTGAGGAATGTTGTGGAATGTGGGCAGCTGCCTCGGAGCAAACGCTGCTGTAAGCACAGGACTTCTTCTGATAGATCAGCTAAATGATTGATCTCTTTATGTTTCCAGAGACATTCATAAGAAGCAGATCAGATGTAGCCCATATAGATTCCTGTAGTTGTCCAGTGATTTAGTTGGTGCAGCACTTACAGGACGGCAACCTCTGTTGGAAGGTTGAAATCTGGTTAAAAATATTTTTGAGCTGCTATCCAGCTTCCTTTGCCTGAATTTTTTAAGTGTTTAAATGACAGGTTTTGAGGCCACATGAGCATGCTTTAGATGCAATTAAGAGTTTCTCCAGAGCAAGAAGCAAACTGTACTACAATTTATTTACTTCTACTCCTGCGCAGGGATCTTGTTTTCTAAATAATATTAAAGGAAATAAGGAATAAAGACAAAAAAAAAAAAATCAGTGTGTTTAAACAGTTTTTGAAATTAAAAAGCTGAACATGTCAAGTTTACATTTTACTTTAAAAAGATAATTGTTTTTTTTTTAATTACGAGTGCATTTTTTGTTTCATTTTAGCTGCTCAACAATAAAATAAATGCACAATATTTGAATTAAATATTTAGATTTTTCTCGCTTATAGAACTGTAATTCAATGTCTATCTGGAAAAAAAAAGCCTCCGATGTTTGTGAAACCATTTAATGCCAAAAACAAATTCTTGCTGTATTTATCCAACATTACAAGTAATTTGGAGTAACGTCTGTTGTCCAATTTACTATAGTTGATCAGCCAATCAGGGCTGCATGAAACCATCCTGAGGTACAATGAATTACTCCTAGCTTCCCTTTGGACACCTGGTCTGTAGGCACATTACATCGGGTGTGCTGTGGAAAGGAAGCTGAAAGATTTCCTGGAATTGGTTTTTGATTCTGTTTGATTTCAATAAGAATTCCTTTGTGCTCAAAAGTTCAAAATAAACAAGAAAGTGCAACTGAGAAAATCCCTCAGACAACAACAAGTCGTTTCGTCTGAAAAGGCTTGTTGTTTTAGGGGATTAAAAACAACAAAGCAATTTGATTTGATATGAAGAACCACAGTTCTTGCATTCTTTCCAATAAAACATTCCCTACTATTTTTTTACCACAACAGCAGAACTCAGTTAGTTTATGTACTTCTTCGTAATAAGTTTCCAGCATGAGTCCAAAGAAACAAACCTAACATTGGAGGTAATTTGGGGTAACCCAAACCAAATTGCAGACCAGAAAAAAAAAACGTTAGGATAGAAAATAGATAGAAAAATAATACTTTGAATCAGATGATTCATGTTTTTCTGGAGGATTTTTTTTTTCATGTAATTTGAAAGCAATGGAAGGTGAGTCACTTTTTCTGTTGTGTTTAGTACAGATAATTATTATTTTTGAAATAACATTCAGCTATTGTGGAGTAAAGATGCAGGATGAGAAAAATGCACAATTTTGCTTGGACAATTTTATATATAAAGCCAAACAAATATTTTCTTCTGCAAACATGCAGATAATATATCTACAATTATACAATAAAAAACTTCCTGTGCTCTGTTAGTACTGACAAAATATTTCTTCTGCAAACATGCAGATAATATATCTACAATTAGACAATAAAAAGCTCCCTGTGCTCTGTTAGTGCTGACAAAATATTAAATGCAAAAAAAAAAAAAGCCATTGCTTTTAAAGTTTCAAACGAAGTATGAGTTCACCACATCTGCCTCTGACGGGAGCAGATGGCATGTATGATCATTTACAGGAAAAGGAGGAGTGCAACTTCTGCATTATATGCATTTCTGCTTTGTGTGCCAATTACAGGGTGTAAATGTGAATCAGGGTTGTGGCGGGGGTGTGGTGGAGGGTGGCCAGATGCTGGGGGTTTCATCGGGGCCTGATTCTCAGACGTGGCGTGTCTTCAGAGCCGGGCGGGGGGGCTGCGATCTGCAAATACAGATCTATGCTGCAGGGTGACGTTAGTTGGGGGTGAAGTGAGAGGGAATGGCAGATGTGTGGGTTTTGTGGTTTGAGTTTCAGTGTGGTAAGGCTGAGTGAAATCACAGGGCGGAGAGAGGCAGGGGCGACCGGTTTTATTCCTGCAGGTGTGGCACCCAGGCAAGGCAGTCGCTGTCCCTTTGTTGACTTATCTCAGAGGTGTGGGCGTCATTGTAACTTTTGAAGGCAGGATTAGAGCTTGACTGATTGAGGTAGATTACACCAACTGAAACAGTGAAACTCCTTTGCTTTCACTTTGAGTATAGTAATAATAAACAACAGAAAGAAAAACTTACAGCAACAATACCCAGACTTAATGAACACTGTTTTTTCTTTTCTATTACAACATTCAGAAATGTGTGCAGATTGTAAAATCCTTTTTTTTTTCTGCATGTCAAATACAACTTGCATATTTTAAGAAATTGTGACATCACTGCTATGTCTTTAAATTAGAGGACAGCTGCAGTTAGATAAATGTTAACAACAATGAAACACAATGCATAAATTAATAAAAAAATGTATAAATAAATGAAATAAAATACAACTCTTTTGGGCAAGGGTCACCATTTTGTACCACCGTACATTTTTACACATTTGGTAGGGAAGTAATATGACTCTCCAAAGTGTTACTTTCCAAAGTTTGTATATTTATTTAGATTTTTTTGTAACTTGATCCTTTCCACGTGTCATATTGATGTTTGGCTGTTGTCATGGGAATCAGGTTGCAGATTAAACAACTATTTAAATTAGAAGAATGAGAAAATAAACGTGGCTGAGTTGGCTTATTAAGGACATTCTACAAAACTATACAATAAAGGAATTTTAGTGGTTTAACAAGTTTAATTTAAAAGAAACTAAGAAGGTTATTAGAGCTAAAAATATTATATGATTTAATACAGAAATGAGTGTAAAGTTTTAAAGTTAAAATAAATAAATGTAATAGGTAATAATTATTTTAATAATTTATATTAAGATAAAAAATAAATATAAGAGACATAAAATTCGGCCTTTGGATGGGCTGATGCTAGTTTTGAATGTGTTTTCCTCTACTGTCATTGTGTATTTAAACTTTCTGTATCTCTCATCTCTCTTTATGACTTTCCTAATAAAATTCTTCTTTACATCTCTCCAACTGTGTAATATTTCAGTAATTTTCAAAGGAGGCGTGTGGTCAGAACTGCAGGGCAGGTTATTTTCCCACCCTGAAACAATTTGATTACCATTTAGTCGTTGCCATGGAGACCAGATGATAGGTGTGTTAAACCACAAAATGAAGAAAATTAAATTTTGTCCATTTGTGTTATTGATTGGATGATAAATAAGCACCGTAAACGAATTTGCAATGTAAATTTGATTAGCTTCAAAAATTTGGGGACATGAAAAAAAAAAAAAAAAAAGATGCCCAATTATGCTTAGAGCCGCAGAGTGGGCCATTTTTACCCCTCATTAAACAACGTCAAATTCTTTCCATTTGGCTGTTTCTATGGAAACGGGGTTGCAGCACAAGCACTTTGTGGTGACTTTGGCTAACAACATAAACAGAATGAATCTTTGTACATCTGGTTTATGGATTATGTTCAACTCATAATTTAGATGTTATTAATCAGAATGAATAATAATTACCTATTGGGTAGCATAGAATCTCTGAACTATAGTTTGATGCTTTTCAGGTGCTGAAATCATGAATAAAATAAAGTCAGTTTGGGAACACTTGGACTTCTGAACATTAAGGAATATTACGACATTTAGACCGGTGATCAAAATCAGTCCACAGAATGATTAAGATAAATATGTGTATTTTCTGCAGATTCTACCTCTCTGGTCGTTTTAGCAAATATCACAGTATTACTTCAACTCCCTGATCTAAATTTGCCTTTTCCTTATGTCTTCGTCCACCAGGACAAGCTCTACACATCAAACAACTAGTAATATTTTCTATTTCAGTGAGAAGCATGTGAATTCTCTCACCGAACCAGAAACAAGGCTTGATCAAAAACCAGCACAAGAAAGCTCTTGATACATAAAAAAAAAAATTTAATAAATGTAAACGCAATTCCCTGTGTCAAAAAAAATGGCTTTGTGACTGTTTTGCATTCACACGCACGCTCACAAATCAAAACAAATAGACAACAGAATAAAGGTTGCTGTTTACGCCACGAAGAAGCTCAGAGAGCCATAAAAAAGGTGCGGAGTCTCGTTAAAAGTGTCAAACCCAATTAGATCTCCCGGCCTGGACTCTTAGACGCTAAGCTGCGATCACGTGCCTGCCTGGGTAAGCATCCGTGTTTACTGTGTTAGTGGTCCAGGCTGAAAGGAGTGCACAGTGAGATTTAAAAGTGTGCATGCAGGGTTAAAGGATGAGATTATAGCCCTGAAGACATGACAGTTAATCTCCACGTGGGGTTGTATATTTACGGCCAGCGGTACGCGTGTTTGTTTGTGGGAGCTGCATGCGGGCTTACGTCTTGGTCTCGTTGGCCTCCTTCTGCATGATGTCCAGGATCATCCGGCAGGCGGACGAGCATCCCTCGGGTGTTGAATGGATGGTGATGGGTTTTTCTGCTGCGCCTGCATTTTCCTTCCGGTGGATGTCCACCCTGAAGGACGGATGCGGAAATCAGATGCCTCACAAATCTATGATAATTTGACTTGGATAAATTGATTATGCTCTCTGTTTTGGGGGGATAATGGACAATAAAACCAACTTGACAGCAGAAACTTTTTAACCGAGTTAAAACGCATACTTGGACTGTGACTGTTTGGTGACGTTCTTGATGGTCAGGCCTTCTTTCCCGATGATTGCTCCCACAAACTGAGTCGGCACAAGCATCCGCAGCGGGAAGTCCGGCTGTCTGAGACGGGGTGAACCGAAGCCTCCTGACGGACCGGGCTGGGGGGTGCCCTGGTCCCGGGAGGACCGGCCCCCACGCCGCGCTCGGGGAACCTGGACGGGCGAAGCGCCATCCATGTCCATGATGTACGACACGTTTAGGGAGTAGTCGTCAAACTGGTGTCCTGTCAGCTTCTCGATTGCTCTGAGGGGGGGAAGAGAGGGAGGCAGAAACAGAGAGGAAATATTGAACTTTGAATGGTCCTATCTATCACTAAAAGAACTTTTACATTCTCATTTACCCAAGCACATACACTTTAATACACAAGTCGAATTTGAAGGCAACTTGGACTGCAGTGCCTTACCCAAGGACACAGTGGCAGGGGGAAGCTGTAATTAAGTCCATAGTTTCTACTATGCCTGGCACGCCCACCCCACGCACTGATTCTATCCAAATTTTACGCTTTGGGTATCTCTCTATCACTTGTACACTTTTTTCTTTCACTAAACTTTCCATCAACATCCTGGGAAGTCTCTTAACATTCAGCTTCGTTACAATAACTTTGTGTGGCCTTCACTCCTTAAGGAGTGTGTCAGCGTCTGTCTGGCAGATAACTGTGAAGTCAGAAATCTTTCTTATGAGTGTGTGAACCACACCATAGAGGTTATGTAATATTTCTATTTTTAAAATGTGTTTTTGAAGAGAAATTGTTACTCATCAAAATAAAAATTAAAAAATCACATTAAATATTCCCAAGATATTCTTTCTTTCAAATTTTTTGGATTACCTAAAGATTATGAATTTCTATAGAACATAAATTGTTCTCAAGATTTCATGACAAGATGAAAAAAAGTATTTCGCCAATTTAAATTAATTTTTACCTCCAAATCTGACCAAGCTTTGAAATCAGAGTGACATTTGCCAGAATCTATTCAGCAAAGATGGAGAAAAACATAAAAGTCACACACGTCCGGTCTCTAATTTCTCACAACACTTACAGCGATAGATCACCAAAAAGAAAAAAAAAAAAAAAACTTCCAAAGTTGTCCTCTGGAATATATTGCTCTACCAACAAAAAAATGTGTTCAGTCTGGCGCTTGATTTCAGAAAGTCAGGTTTCTGAAAAATATGAGCTACAGCGATATGGATGACTGAGAGAAAATTGTGTGTTTTAAAAGACACGACTCCATCGCTATGGGTATTTTTAAAGCACAAATTCTTCCCATTACATGGAAAAAAAACATTCTGTGTTTCTGTGCAGATTCTGGATGATGATGCATTAATTTAAAACAAAACAAACAGCAATTACATCTAATCACAGTGTGTTCTTCAGAGTCAATGAATTTTGATTGATATTGGACAAAGAAACAGCTTAAAAAATCTTGTTCTCAGTATGAAATGGACCCAAACGAAAAAGAGAAGCTGCATGGCAGCTATGAGCTGACTTTTTCTTTCTTTCTTGTTTTTTTTTTTTTTTTTCTTTATTTTTTACTATACATTATGAGAATGAATGCAAAACAGCACTGAGCATGGAACTAATGAATGTTTCTGAATAGGTAAAAAAACAAAACAAAAAAAAACAAATAGGGTCTACACCATCCAAATTATAAGCATTTTAATTGTATTTCTTTATATTTAGTCCAAATTCAGAAATAATCTCCTGTTCTGGACCAACATTATTGCAATGTTTGTTCCTTCAAACTTTCACCCTTGCAAGTCGGTTGGTTTTTTTAGTTGGTATAAAAAGTCCTGCAACCTGTGATCCTTCACCATGTCCTCAGTTAAAACAAAAAACAGTACATAAGACAGTTCAAAGTACTAAAAACATATTCTGCATGATGTTGCAACTTCCCGTTTAAATGTGTTAACATTTATATGCATGTTCCTCTAAATATGCTGGCCTTGCTCTTACAATGTACAGTTTGTCAAGCAAAGAATCAATGAACTGCAGTGCTCAAATTTGCAGTTTGTCATCTGTACGTGAGTGTTACTCATAAGTAACATTATTTGTGCTGCTTACACTTTAGCTTCTTCCTTGGTTGCGTATGTAACATTCACCACTGCTGTTTCTGTGTCAGTGTTCACTGTGGGACAAGACAAGAAGAGAGAGAGAGACAGAGAAAAACATGAGATACAGCAAACAATGGAGTACACATGCACATATCAGGTCTTTGTTGTTTTCTGTAGGTGAGTCGGACACGCGTCCATGTTCCCGTGGCGACCCAGAAAGCTGCTTGTCTGTGTGAATCCATTACAGCCATCAGCACGCTGGCTTCTCTCCAAACCCTGCTGCTTCCTCTACAAAACGGAGCTGCTTAACACAAAGGCCTCGCTGTCACTTTCACAAAAACGGATCTGAGTCCGACATAACCGCCCGAACACGGCAGATAATCGCCAATTAACGAAGATGAAGCACACAACAGAGACACACCTTGACTAGATAGGTGGTCAAGGGTTGTTCTGCGAAGACGGAGCAGAGCGGAGTGTGTGAATCCGCAGAGATCACACAAGGTCTGATTCAGAGAAAGAAGTTAATTACAGAATCCATTACAAACAGCGACAAACACAATCAGCTTAATCAGGTGATCAGTTTGGATGATGAGCTGATTATTTAACTCAGTTTTAAAGGAAGAAAAGCTGAACCTAAAGCTAAAGTACAGTGTGCGCAGGAGAAAAATGTGATTGTCTGAGTTATTTTGAACGTCCAACAATGTAAAGCACAGCTCTGCCCAAAGGCTTTGTTCAAATACGTTTCAGTTCCTGTTTCCAAACAAACAAGGCTGTAAAGAGGTTTCGGGGCTACTCTCCAGATTTACTGAAGTATTTTGTTTTTAATCTTTGGACTTTTGTTGCATTTTCATTTTTTGTGGCGTTCTTGCAGCTGATAAAACAAACATATAGTGCAGCTTTCACTTACAAATTAGGAAAATGGAGGAACAATAAAACAGTTTAGAGGAAAAAACTATTTTCACTAAATGAGCACTACAACCTCGCTTGACAAAAAATGTGCTTTAAGTCACTAATGTCATAGATTCGTATCTAAGAGTTTCCATAACATAAGTGTGACTAAAACCATTTTTCAATTTACACAAAAGTTTTACAATGATTAGAGTCTAGGATCTTTTAAATACTAATCATGGTCTTACTATTTTGTTAGAGTATAAATATGTCCCATATTTAAAATTACCACTCATCAAAAAGAGAAACACAAGAAAACACAGGAACTTCAAACCTACTTGTTACCTTCCATTGATCAAGTCAGAAATGTTTCCAGTAAACCATGAAATCATTACTCTGCATTGTGCATCTATGAGTTATGTTAATGAATCACGGTGAGCAATGCCGTCCAGCATTTCTTTGGCAAATCTGGAAAGACGAAGTTGAGCAACACAATAGTTGAATAAACCTAATGATGCAGGATTTCGCAAGTCCTTCATGGCGTGAACTTATTTTAATCTTATCGATTAATTCCAGCTTGTGACATAAAGCACCTGAGGCTTCTCACAAACTCAAATCCAGTTTAGTTTGTTCCACTTAACTCTAAAGGATGTGACTAAGGGAAGAAAAACAAAATCTATAGGATTTACCAGAAATGTCAAAAACTGTGGCGGCTGATACATCTGAAAGTTGTGTGTTTGAAACAAAATTCAGCAAAAACATGGCACAGTATGTGCAAAACACGTCATCATTTGGTAGATATTGTACAGTTTGCCATGTGTTCAGCTTAAACTCTCCTGATTTATGATCCAAGAATGTAATTTGACTATGTGGGAAATTGTGTTATCTTTGGTATTTTTCAGAATTGACTAAACGAGTCACAACTTACTGTATGGTGTCTCTTTCGATGGCTGCTGGTAAAAGAATGCCAAACATACTGCTTGAACTCGGTTCTTGAAACGTTGTCAGCTGTGTGTCAATACGACACTTGTTTATCACCTGAATTTAGGAGGCTTTTAATCCTTGACCCAGATGTAACGATGTCAATAAAATAAATTGCAATACTCAACTAAAGCTGTCAAATACCAAATAAAAAGTTTAAACCTTCGAAAAGTCTAAAGAATTATTGATCTGGATCCGATTAAAAGATTAAAAGAGAGTCCAGATGTTTGTACTCCAAAAGCAATCTTTTTTTTTTTTTTCTTTGAGATTTATGTTTGGTATTCTTTTATGTCGTGCACTTATCATTCAGTCTTTTGTAACATTTGACAGCTGGTGATAAATCCTGGCCCTTATCCATCCAGCCCAGTGCCAACCCAGTCGGAAACTCAAATAACCAACGTTACTCTGATTAGCAAACACAACACACAAGAGCTACCAGGTCACGCTGACAAATCCCCTCAATGTTAAAATGATCTCTTCAAATCTCCGTAATTGTAAGGCCAATTTCTAAAGCTTACATAAAACGCTGAGAGTAGAGAGCTCACATCAATTAACGGCCAAAAACATTGCGAGTCAGTCAAAGTTGAGCCGGGAAGGGTTAAATCCAGTGATGGTGCCTGGCTGGCAGAGAGAGGATACATGGACAGAGTCTGGCACTGTGCTCGCCCCCACAGCCAGCTCTGTCCCGCCACTACACACATATATGGGACTGCTCTAAAAAAAAACAAAAAACAAATGGTAACCAGAGTGCAGGAAGTGAAGCAGGGAGCAGTGACATAAGGCGGGAAAGCCGGAACAATGAGACGACGAGGTGGCTCTGTTGGTAATTCAGAGTAACCGGTGATGTTTGAAGAGACAACTGGGGGAGGAAATTCCCTGGTGGTTGTTTGGTAGAGAATGAAGCAAACTGTTTTAAAAACTTTAGGCGTAAAATAATTTCTCTGCGGGGTTCTCGTTCAGCACCTGTCATCACAACAGTGGGAGGTAGCTCATCCTGGCTGTTTTAGCACACAGAGAATCCGTTGGTAAGTAAGTGTGTGCCAAGAAATTTTCTTTTTCTCAAGCTTGGATTTTTAGGTGTCTATTTGCCCCCCCACTGCATGCCTGCTCATGTACAAGACAGCAAAATCATCCACACACACACACACACACACACACACACACACACACACACACACACACACACATACACCATGAGCGAATTCAGAAACTTCACCACAGGCGCCTGCTGTGCCTTCCCCCCCGTTACCACAATGCTGCATCCCAAAAGAGATGCAAAACTCAAACACACAGGCGCATTATTCCTGGATCTCCTCCATGTCTGCCCACTTCAATCCATACGCTAACAGGCCCAGGGGTGGCAGATTTTTCTTATTTAGAGCCTCATCCTGTCTGTGGCTCAAACATTAACGCACAGAGACAGACAAGATGATAAAGACTGAATCATATACAGAAATAGGTTATGTTTAGATAATGGATGTGTGCGGTGATGATAATGAGGAAGCAGAGTCATGCAGGGGGGTCGTGACTCACTGGGGGGTCTGGGTGTTTTTGCGTGTGTCACTAAAAAGACACACATGTATCAAACAGTTGGAGAAGGATGAAGGATGAATACAAAACACGTGATGATCAAGGAGTTGGGTTCTGTACCTTGCTCCACGTTCTCTACAGTACCATACTGAGCAAGAAGGCCATCCAAAACCTGAGGGGAGAGAGCAGAGTTCATGTCAGAGGCATAAATACACAGAGCAGGACAAGAACAGAGTTTTTTTAAACGACAATGTCCAAAAGAAAATGACAGAGTAAATTCTTAAAGATAGTATAATGGTTCCCTTCCCACTAATTAGAGCACAGCATCCTGGGTTAGAGTAAAGTTTTGTTGATGAATTAGACATCAGATACATCAGCTTTACATCTTAAATTGTATTAGGAGTCTGCAAAACAGTTAAAAGCAAAGTTACTTTTTAAAAAATGCCTGAACAAATCAGAAAAAAAGTAAAGAAAGAAGCTAATATTTTTGCAGAAAGTACATGAGCTTTTATTTTTGTCATCATTGGGTTAATTCTAGAAGATAGTTGTGCATTAAGGTATGCTTCTAAACAGTAAGTAATAATCCAGATTGAATTTTTCAGGTTGGTTGCCGGAGTGATTCCTGCCTCTCTTGGGGGCGACGCGTGCCAGACATCACCTCACGTTTTGTCATAGACAAAAGCACATTTTTACAAGACACAAAAAAAACATCAGTATAATGATGATCAATATTTTGATCCATAAAGAGAACAATTTCTAACATTTTATGAAGCAAATTCTAACCAAATCCAGACCTTTGACATAACTTTTAACCTAAAAAGTTATTGTTAACTAAATCACGTCTCATCTATGAAGGATGACTGTACTGCTTCTACTTGTGTAAAAAAATAACTGAAATAAATTCTGTGTGAGCTTTTTATGTAATTAACTGTAAGGACTCTTATATTTAAATTGGAAACAAACTTGCGTGTTGACAAAAATGTTTTATAATTTATTGTAAGACATGTTTAAAACCACAGCTCTAAGTTAACACTGTCAGAGGTCGCTGAGGTCCATCACAGATGCTGCCATGATATTGTTTCAACAGCAATACGACCTGAAGTGAAATTATTCATAGAATAATGCATCATTCTGACATTTTTATACCTCGGCATGTTTGTTCACCTTGACTTGAGTTGCCCGAACTCTTTACTAAATAATGAATGGAAATCATTTCTTCAAGCAAGTAAAAGCGGGAACGGAAAGTGCATAGTTCATTTTTAATTAACAAAATTTCATTGAATGCGGGAGAAAATTAAAGTTTCCCTCCACTGGAAGGACAAATACATTATTGATGTAGAGAAACTTTAGCGAGTACGTTGTAAGGCCCTTACAAGCACTCTTCCTGATTTTCCCTCATTAGTTTCCCTCGATATTGGAGTTGTGAACCCTCTGGAAAGTTGTTTTCATGTAATTTACATATGAATGCTTTTTCTACACTAATGTATTTTTGTGTTGTGACTGATTTTTTTATAATTAACGCAATCATTTAATCAGTTCTAACGCCGTGTTGATTTACTCTGCTGTTCAAAGTTAAACATGCACCCATTTTCTAATAAAAAAACAGGGGGGGAAAAAAAACACACCAATGTGTGTGAAACAATTTTTGACCAATTTTGCAAACATCGTTTGGGGAAATTAGTTTATAACTTTTTGTAGAATACTAATTGGCTTTAAAAACTTGCATGGTTTCCACAGGAACTCTACCTTTCACCATAAAGACATGCAGTGCAGCCTTGTTCTAATGAGGAAGGTCGTTACAGTCATGCTCTCATGTGTGTATCCCCAAATACCATTTCGACATGTTTCTATTTGGTGGTCGACTTTTGCAGAAGATTGTTTTCCTTTGCTTTAAAAAGACTGGATTGGGTCAAGCGTCTTTTGTCAAATAAGGATGCACCGAACGTGCAGCAGGTTAATGAAACTTGTGGATTCTTAGATTGATAGGCTGATTAGGTGAGTGGCACTTTAGAGTTTCAAAACTGTACTTGTTAATAGAATGACTTATCGATGGTAGTTTTCATTTATTTCTTTATCACGCTATTTAAAATATTTAAAATGAAACCAGAGAAAGCGAAAGAGTAAAAGTCTACAAAAAGGAAACATGGCCCCTGTTGTGTATTTTGCATAAATATTGAGCTGGAATGTGCATAATTTACAATGAGTTACAGTGAGCCCATTACTTTTTGTACTTTTTGTAATAATTATTTATTTTTCCACCAATTATGACTATTATATATTTAAGTAAGTAAAGTATATAAGTATGGGATGCAAGCATAATGTAGACAATTCAAAAAAATTATTTTTTAAATTATTTTAGAAAATTCCCAAACATGTTGAACCCTCTTTAAATGTGTTTTATATTAAGTGCTTGCAGAAAAAGAAACAAAGGTTCATGTTTGTTTGTTTTTTTGTTAGTTTAGTTTTTTTTTTTTTTTTTTTTTTGGGTTTCGGGGTTTGTTTTTTTTTTTTTTCAATTGAAAACTTTTTGTAAATTTTTTAAACATTTT